CTCTTTCCCCTGCCCTAACTAGTCCATTAGAACAATATTACCTGGGATTGTTTTTACATTCAAAGTGTATACAATAGTCTCTATTTTGACTATTATAACACCAATAATTAGAAATTGGTATAAATGGATGTCAAATATTTAAATTATTTCTTATCCATAGTATGGCAGGAAATCAATTAGACTTCAAATTAATTAATTGTCTTTCTCTGCCTTCAGGTATATGGAATTTTTCCCTACTCCATCCAACATCACAAGTGACTTTCTATTCGAAAAGAGTGCTAATTACTTCCATTCAGAAGAAGCTCCCAAACGAGCTGCATCTCTGGTCCCCAAAGCCAAGATCATCACCATCCTCATTGACCCCTCAGACAGAGCATACTCTTGGTACCAGGTATGAAGCAGTGCAAAATACCATTAAAAGCCTTTGGTCATATCTTGAATGTAAGCAATGGTGAATTAACAAAGTAAAGTCCAGATGTATTGAACAGTCAAATGTTAAAAGAGCTAAACAAACAAAAAAAATTATGAGAAATAAGAACTATTGATAAGATCTAATTGATATCAATTTGGGCAAGGAGTTTCAAGCATAAACATAACAGAAGAAAATCACACATCAAGGAATTAATAGATTGAACCATATAAACATGTAAAATATTGGTCAGTCACAATTAACAAAATTAAAATTACTATCTAAGTAGAGCATCTTTAGCAATACATGTTAAATGGCTTAGTTCCCTTAATTTGTAAAAAAAAAAAAAACGTTCCTGCAAACTGGTAAAAGTAACTAAATGAATAAATATTTGAGTAAAAAAATGAGCAGACAAGCAAAAGGCATAGATAAACAATTTACATACACACACACAAATCCAACCACACAATAATTTACATGAAAAATTAGGAATCAACAAAATATAAATCAAAATGGTACTTTTTAAAATATTATCTTGGCAAAAATTGTCATTCTTGTTCTCTCTGTTGACAAGGGTGTGTTGATAAAAGTACTAGAACTTTCTAATAGAAGGATATATATGGAGATATTTTCTGAAAACTAATTTGATGACAGTTATCAAAAGGTTTGTAAAGGTACTTTTGTGCTGTGATTCCTCTTCTGGAATCAATCATAAGAAAACCTCAAAAGGATTAAAAATATGTATCCCTTTTTTATTCATCAAGGTACTAATCATAATAACAAAAGGAAAAGTAAATATCCAACAATATAGAACTGTGTCACACCGAAATGGAGTATTCTTCAGCATTTCATGATGGTTTTAATCCATAGAATGATAATTAAAACATAGTGTTCATTCTAATGTGTGAATAGATATTAATCAAATAAGCAAAAAGGTATATAATTAGAAATTTTAAATGCTCTGTGAGGAAGTATGGGAGGTGCTATGAGAGCACTTTCTAGAGAAATCAACTTTAGACTTAAAACTGATGGAAGAGTAGGTTTAACTGAGTGAGGGTAGAGGGAGAGTGGGGCAGAGGGAAAGTATGTGTAGTCCCCTGGGTGCAAAGAACCACAGCACAGCTAAAGAACTAAAAGAAAGGGTTCATGTGGTTAGAGAGCAAAACCCGAGGTGGAGACCTGCGGGAGATGAGTCTGAGAGGCAGATGGGGGCTAGAAGCCAAGTGGGAGAACCAAGTGGCCACCATTCCTTGAGCCATCGAAAGCCTTTTTAAAATGTTAAACCAGTGTGTAACTACCAGAATTCCTTTTAGAAAACATGATACTATCTGCTATTTGAAGAATGGATTGGAGTGGAAGAAGTGACCATTCAGAGAAGTCAAGTAGAGGCTATTGCAAAAGTCCTGCTGTGAAATGGCAGTAGCAAGGACAAAGATAGTAAGTAGAAACGGGATGAAGGATAAAGTATCAAGAGATAGGGATTAAAATCAACAGAGCCTGGTGGGAAAACAGTGTCAAAGATAAATCAAATTTCCAGTCTGGGCAACTGGATGATAACCATATATTCCCGTGAAAAAGAAGCACTGAAGAAGGGTACAAGTGTTGTGCGGGGGTGGGGGAAGGCTAAAGATGTGACACAGATGGAAATCATGAGGTTATGACATCACTTTCACACCAAAAGCAGCAATAGAAGTGGCTGGCACTGTGGGGAAGGGTCTGAGCAGGAGACAGAAATTTGTGAATCAGAGGCAAAAAGCCACAGAAATGGTGAAATCGCCTAAGGAGAAGGTTCAGAGAAGAAAAGTACAGAACAGAATGAAGCAGCCAGAGAGAGGAAACAGCCAGAGGAGTAATAAAAAATCCAGCAGATACCAAGAAAGGAGTACTACCAAATGAAGGAGATGACAGCAATGTCAAACAGCTGCTAAGAAATTAGACAATTAGGCAAAGTAAGGCCTGAATTGTTTTCACTCAGTTGAAAGACATGGAGGGAAGTGAAACTTTTAGCAAACAAGACACAGTGGATAAGAAAGATGTGTTTATAGTGGTGGTGATCTGAATAATAATGAAAAGTTTTCAAAGGAAGAAGGATGTTAAAGGTCCCCCAAGGGAAAATGGGGAATTAGACCTGGGAGGATCCTGAGAGATCTGGAAGGGTGGCTACAGGAAATAGCTTAGATGGGAGGGAAGCACTCCATTTCCAGAGTTCTTCACTTTTCTTGTGCTGGGACCCTTCCGGCAGTAGGGTGGAGTCCATGTTCCCCATTTCAGAAATATATTTTTAAAGCATTAAACTACATAGTATTACAAAGGAAACAACTATATAGAAAAGTAATTAAAAATCAGTGACAAATTTAAAATCAAATTTGTTTAAAAGCAAATTTAAATTTACTGATATTAAATTAAAAGTAATTTAAAATCAGTAACAAATATTTACTAAATCATTAAATGGAAAGATCTAATGATGGGGCTAATACTACTGTAATTTTGAAATAGCGGTGAGTATAAACATTTGATAATCTGAAAGACCTGTAATGTGATAAAAATAAAAGAACTGATTTTTATTGGTGGTAAGATCACAAGTACAATACATACCAAATTTTATTTAGAAGTTACTAAAAATAAAGAGACATTTTTTTGAAGATTCAAGTTCATAGATCCTCTGAATTCTATCAGCGGGAGTTATTAAGAACCCCTGTATTGAAACTTAAGGTATAGAAAAGGATATAAATGTACTTGCTGGTAAATTTGAAGGTCTGGGATAGAGAAATTAAAGTGACTATGATGGTCTCTTTTTCCTTTAAAAAGTTGAGAACAAGTTAATCTAATGAAAAGAGGGGGAAAATTTGGGAGGCAGTAGTTTGAGGAGAGACAAAAGGGGGTATGAAATCTTGCTACAGGGGTGAGGTAAAGTTGACCAGAGAAATGTAAAATTGCCCATTGCAATGAAAGCCTAATTAAAGCTGATGACCTTGAATTTAAGGTGGTAATAATCTATATGTACTAAAATCCCAATGATATGAGTGCATACATAAATTAATGCCAAAATAAAGTAGATTAAAAGAAAAAAATTAATAGCATTGTAAAATAACAAGTAATTTTTCTTTTTCCTTTATTCTTTTTCTTGACTTTTCAAAATTTCTTCAATAAACATATATCACTAAGAACAAATAATGATGGACAGAAAAACGTGATACTGCAAACTGAGATTGCCAGTGGTTAGGAATTCAAGTGGAACACTTGTTTTGGGAGCAAAATCCAGAAATTATTGTTAGAATCCATGAGTCAATGACTCCCTAATATGCAAAAATGTGTCTTTCTCACTATAACAAAATTCATATTGCAAAGCAAGATAAACTTATTTTTTTCAACTGTGCCAAAAATATTGAGTTATTAAGCTTTAATGAAACATTTTAATGCGAACACTTGGGGAAAAATGTTGCACATTTTCCTGGCAGAAAAAATGGTCACTACTTAGAGCAGATTATATGAATCTCTTTTTTTTTTCACATGGATTCAACTATTTTTTTTAAAGAAGAGAGAATCTATGCCTGCTTCTTCAAGTAAATTCTTTGAACATACACATTTGAAATGAATAATTTTTTCTGATAATACTTTTTATTGCTATATTGCTAAGAGTAGGGTCCCCAGCCTGCTGTACATTTCAAAATAATGCAACCTATTACTTACATTGCATTATTACCCAGTCCTGTCTATTCAGTAAGTACCATAAATTTGAAGCTCAGCAGGTATAATTCAGAAAGTCCTACAAATGTCACCTGCCACTATAATTACCCCACATTTTTATAATGGGCCTCACAGAGGACCTATAGTGCTATTTTTTCCAATTCTGTGTGATTCCTGGTCATATTTTTATGCTACTCTTTTTAGTTGCATAAATATAAAAAAAAGTTGGTGCTAAACTGGTATAAGTCAATATAGAGCAGATTAAGTACAATTCCATATTATCACTGTGCAAAGTAGAAATGTTCACATTACTGCATTAACGTGCACATAGTATGTTTATATTTCTTCACACAAGTTACCCAGTTTCTACACCTTGTATTAATTAACTGTACTATGTAGTCTCTATGTATGTAGCATAATGCATTTACAAATAAGGTCAATAAGTATGCAATTATGAGAGGGCTTCAAAAGTATTATTATTTCTACCAACCTACCACCCACTAGTTACACTTTAACCATTTACCACTTAATCATCTTTACTTTCTTAGCAATTTTTATTTCTAACATATATAAGGGCTGCTATTACATAATTCTATCAGGCTCTAATATACTTCTATCCTTATCCTGTAGTAAATTTTCTTTAAGTTCGCTTTTAGGTATCTTGCAAAATCAATTCATCCATTCCCACACACCTCATTCATCTTCACTCAAATTTAAAGTTCTCTTAGTTTCCACATTTATTTTTTTCTGCTTATTAAAATCTTTCTCACTACATTTTAGCTCAAAAGCATCAATCATTAAAAAAGATCCCTTCATCTTTCATTCAGAACTAATCACTTATTGGTCTGGCTATCACAGCAAATAACTTATACCTCTAGTCAAATATATGACTTTATCACAATCTGTTAATCTGTTGTTTTCCATACCAGATTTTGATTTCTTTGAAGACAGCAATTTTTTCTTACCTATATCTTTTTATGTCTAGAATCTATTGCAGGTTATTGTTCTGGGAAGGATCTTAATAAATGCTTATAAAATTGTATTGATTTGTGTGGGGCTCTTGAGCTTGACCAATGATGGTAGGATGTGAAAGATTCAGAGAATTTGGTACTGAAAAACAGTAGTGAATTGGTATTTAGGAATTAGCAGAGTTAGGTGGAAACCCTTGGGAGGGTAAAAGCAAAGTGCCTTGGGCAACATCAACATAAATGTGACACCTGAGCAAGCATGAATAAACCTCTGCCTTCTCTGTACCCATAGCACCTGCCACATAGGGATATTGGGGAATTGTCGGAACCCTCAGGAGTGGCTGTAATGAAACAAGAGCACAGTAATATGTAAGCTTACTCCTGCCAATCAAAATCTCTTTTCATCAGGCTTGATCTGTCTGGTCCCTGACATCTTTTCACTTATAATCAGACCCATGGAGAAAATCCTTGTACTCTGTCTCTTGTCTTGCACCTAAACATTTTAGACATGAAGACAACCACAGGCTTATCTGAATGCTACTTGATATATATGGAAGGCTTATACTCTATATAAACAATATGACAATGCCTAGGCTTCAATATAGTGTGCATTTTTCACCTTATTTTTCATTCTAAAGTCAATTAATTATTTTTAGTTACTCTTTTTGGAATAAAAGACACATGACACATACACATATATCCACACATCAAACACATACATGCACACATACCTATGCAGGCATAAAGAAAATTAATTTTACAATTGACTTTCTTATTAAAGCACCAAAGATCACATGAAGATCCAGCTGCCCTGAGGTTTAATTTCTATGAAGTTATCACAACAGCACATTGGGCCCCATCTGACCTGAAAACTTTGCAGAGAAGATGCCTATTACCCGGATGGTATGCGGTCCACATAGAAAGATGGCTAACTTACTTTGCTACTTCTCAGGTAATGTCCTGAACTGAATTTCTTCTGTTTATTATATCCTCATAGTGTTGCACTGACAAACAGAAAATATAAATTAACATTGCCACAGATAGCAATTTATTATCAGAGATGATCATACCTAAGGAAGAAATGTGGGTTTTTACATTTTTAATGTCAATGGTAGTACTACAATGTTAAGTGGCTGTGAAACACATTCTGGGGATCTTCTTTTGGGTAGTAGCTGGTCTCAAAGTGGTAGGGCCTCACACAGGAGGCATCAGGTGCTTCATAGGCAATATCCAGTAGAGGAGCAGCCAGTTAGAACCTTTATGGGACACCATGTGCAGGTACCCGTGTGTCATCTGTCCTGTGGGAATCTTATAAGGAAAGAAGGAGGTTATGGATTAGACTGTCAAAATGGAAAGTGTTGTAACAGCTCCAGGAACTTGGGATAGAACAGGAAATAAGGATTTGCGGAAAGCGTCCACATCCTTTATCTTCTTCATTCCAGTAAGGTCACAACTAAAACCTGAGTTCTGTGTTGTGGTTTGTAAGGAGAATAGATGGGTAATTTTCATCTGTATGCTCATGATTTCCAAGCCCTTGGCTCCAAGGTTAACTCATGGAATTTCATAGGTTGGATAATTATCTGTATTACAGAGCAGATGGAAAATCGTGTTTCTACTGAACTACTAAATCAAGAGAGTGTCAGTGTTTATGATTTACAATCAAGTTAGTTAAGGGTTATAAAAAATGCCTTTGGCAAAATTTGCTGTTTATTTGGAAGGACACAAGAATAGTAAACATTAACATGTATGCTAAGTAGTGCATATTTTCTTCCTTTTCACACTGATCTAATTGATTAACATCATACCAGGTCAAGGGAGGCAGCTTGGTCTATTTAATTTAATTTTGTTCTTCATAAAGTGACTATTTTTGACTCTACAGTTGCTAATTATTGATGGACAGCAGCTGAGATCTGACCCAGTTACTGTGATGGACGAAGTCCAGAAGTTTCTGGGAGTTACACCTCATTATAATTACTCTGAAGCACTAACGTGAGTCTATTCTCATGGTTGATTTCATTTCCATTATTTGCCATCATAAATTATCACTGGTAGGTGTGTATATAGCATCATTAATACTAGGTATGAATTTATACATCATTATGCTACTCAAAAGCAGTCAAAGGAATGTCCTCATTATTCATGTAGTGTCTCCTTTTGAATACCAGGAACACTTAACCTTATAGGCATTTTATGTATCACAAATTCCCCTTTTTGTGAGCTTTCTCCCAGTATAAATTTGTTTAAGTAAACTTTCTACATGCCTACTGTATGCAGAAAGTGTCTAGGAATTGAGGTTACAAAGGTGGAAAAGATGATCTCTTTCCCCAGGTAATTTACAGGTTAGAAATAAAATGTTGATGGCCTCCATTAGCTCTGTGAAAGTGAGTAGTGTTTTGGGCAGAACTGGGAAAGGGATACATTCATGTTTTACTCTGTATTTTTAAAATTGTATATAACCAAATATAATCACGTGTAATGTTGTAGTTATTATTGCACAGCTGACCACCCAGAACCTACCGGCATGTAGCTGTAGCCATTTTATTATGCTCATGGATCCTGTGGGCTGGGAATTTAGACAGGACACAGCCAGGACAGCTTGTCTCTGCTCAAAATATATACTTGGGGCCATATTTGGGAAGACATGAATATCTAGGTATGACTTGAATGGCTGGAGACTGGAGTCTTCTGGAGGCTTCTTTACTCAACCTTTGGCTCTTGGACTGGGATAGCTCGAAGCTGAGCTCAGAGGGACAAGACCTCTGTGTGACTTCCTCACAGTGTAGTGGCTTTGTGTTCTGAGAGGGGGTGGTATATCGAGGGAATGTGGTTCAAGGTCTTCTCTGACCTAGCCTTGCAAGTCACATAGCATCACTTATGCCATATTCTATTGATTGCAACCAAGTCACTAGAGCCAGTGCAAATCCGAGGGGAGGGAAAGGAGCCTCCGCCTCTTGTTGAGGAGGGGCAAGGGCGTTCTGCAGAAGAGAATGTGGGAAGGGGGATATTGTTGCAGTCACCTTGGGAAAATAAAATCATGTACTTGGGTGACTGAAAATGGAAAAAAAAAGTGTAAAGAAGCAAAATAACAAACAAAAACAAAAGCTCCAAGCAGTCAAAATATATATTTAAAAGGGCATATACTTGATGCCCTCACAAAGGCCTGATATACAGCCTATTAAGTTTTAGACAAAATTTTGACAAGCTTGATTATACAATTTCCCAGTTCATAGCAGATTAGAATCAGCAATTAGACAATTAGAGAGGGTAATGGAAGGACAGGAAAAGAAGCAATAAGATTGGGTTGTTCCTTATCCACTAAAACAAGTCTAATGAAGTTTTTACCTACACATGGAAATAACAACACAAGGCATAGCCCCTGTTGATTAAGTAGACAAAGCTTCCCATAATACATTTACATAAATACTTATTGATGTCAGCATGTCTTCCCCTGCCTGCCTGCAGTAGTTTAGGGAATGGTTTTGTCCTGTTTACTACAAATAGTTCCTTATAGTTCAATAAACCTGTAAAATCATACTTTTAAAGAAGAGATTACAAACAAGTACAGAATATATGGTTTTTAATACATCTCACACATCACAAAAATTAATAACTATAGTGATGTTCAGTGTAATAAAAGAACTTGTAAGGCAACAAATTCATATCCTCAAAGTTGTCTAACAGTTATTTGAGAAAGGCTTTGCATCTTAATTTCACAATTTCATGCCTACTGAAACCAAACCATAAAACAAGGAATTGATATAACTTAGCAAGAATAAATGCCCATTGTTAGACTTCGGGTATATGACATTGTCAATGCAGTGAGTGAAACCAGGGCAGCAAAGTAATGTGGATTCAAGATTATGGCAACCCTATCTAAAAGAATGACTTTCAATATTCTGGATGGCTCTCCTTCCTCAGGTTGTATTAAGCTCTGCCTCACAATAGCTGTTTGGAGAGCAAGGAGAGACAGCAGCCCATCCTGAGACCTCTGTACACCAGAGAGCAAAGGAGATACTCTTAGTGTGTATAAATATCTTGGCTTGGTTGCTAGAGCTGTATTTTACCTTAATGCAGTTAAATATTCTCATCCTGAGGCAGAAAATGCTGTTTAGGGGCACTGTTATCCTGCCTTCCCCATCTCATTTTGCACAGCATGCAGAATTGTTTTTCCTCTTGGGAAATTAATGAAAACTAGAGAAAGGCCTATGACAGGCAAGGATCAGATTGAAAAGTCCAGGTTGGAAATGACTCTGTCTTCCTTTTATCCATTTAACCAGTGATGTATTTAATTTTAATTGATAACAAGTACTAGGACAACCCAGATTGCAAGGATCAGGTCTCTAATAATAGATTGGGCATGGAACTGTAAAGAAGAATCCCCTCTCCCCCTAAATGAGTTCACATACGTGCAGAAGCAAATTGCAGGTGCACCGGTATTATAGGAATGGGCCCAGGGCAACAAAATATTCTGCAACTAATTAACTTTACGTCCTACTCAATTATGCTCCATCTTTCTAAAACATCTGCTGAGCAACAAAAATGCAAACCTTTTCGATGTTTTATGCATGCAGCAAGTCCCATAGCAGTAAATTTAAAATTTCCCTTCCTATTTGGTTTATTCTTTCATTTTTCCTACCTTGTTAGTCCTAAACAAAAATTCTTATATATCTGAGTTTAAACCAAATAATTAGGCCACACATTCTTTCTTTTGTAACTTTGTGCAGCCATGGGAGCAAAACAACATTAGAATTTTCTTTAAGAGTATCAGGTCTGAATTAACCAATAGGATCATCTGTCTTCAACAAAAGAAATGAAGATTTGTCTAATCTTACATTCACCATTTGTATAATCTGTGTCTCAAGTTCTCTGGAAAAATACAGTGAATTATATCTTTACCCTTTTAATTTCCTCCTTGAAAAGTATAAACATATTGAACTGTTAAAAAAAATATAGCAGTTTTCTTAGAAGCTTTAATTCAGGTTTATATACATGGAAGCAACATAAGTGTCCATCAATAGATGAATGGATAAAGAAGATGTGGCACATATATACAATGGAATTTACTCAGCCATAAAAAGAAATGAAATTGAGTTATTTGTAGTGAGGTGGACGGACCTAGAGTCTGTCATACAAAGTGAAGTAAGTCAGAAAGAGAAAAACAAATACTAGATGCTAATACATATATATGGAATCTAAAAAGAAAAAAAAAAAGTGGTCATGAAGAACCTAGGGGCAAGACAGGAATAAAGATGCAGACCTACTAGAGAATGGACTTGAGGACATGGGGCAGGGGAATGGTAAACTGGGACAAAGTGAGAGAGTGGCATGGACATATATACACTACCAAATGTAAGATGGATAGCTAGTGGGAAGCAGCCACATAGCACAGGGAGATCAGGGGTGGGTTTGGGAGAGTGGGAGGGAAGGAGATGTAAGAGGGAGGAGATATGGGGATATATGTATATGTACAGCTGATTCACTTTGTTATAAAGCAGAAACTAACCCACCATTGTAAAGCAATTATACTCCAATAAAGATGTTAAAAAAAAAGAAGTATACTTACATTACATTCAGTCACCTTACTATATACCACTTAATGATGTCAAAGAAATCTGTGTATAACTTATAATCATTATATTTTTATTATCATTTATATATTTGATCTTTTGTAGTTTTGATCTCCAAAAGGGCTTTTGGTGTCAACTACTGGAAGGAGGAAAGACCAAATGCCTTGGAAAAAGCAAAGGTCGAAAGTATCCACCCATGGATCCAGAGGTAATATTTTCCTCATCTTTGAAATACACTGGTAGAACCCTGTGCATACAATTATTTCAAAGCTAGTAGACAATATATTTGATTTCTTTTTCTGATTTTTCGTTGTTATCAATAGTTTTATATATTTGGAAAATAAATAGACCAACAGAGATAGATGATTGATAGATATCTGTAGAAATTGTGTGCTGGGATGCAATTCAAACATAAATACTTACTGAACAGTAATTCCTTTCCAAATGTGTAAAGTACTTAAATAAATTATCTACTAAACAAGTGATTTTGGATAAAATATATAAGCATTATTATTACATATTAAATACATATATCCAACACCTATACAATGCATGGTACTGAGTTAAGCAAAGGAGAGTAAACTGCTCTGATCACCAATTACAACATATGGTGGAGAGGTTCTTCCACATCACCAAGCAAGGCTCAGACACCAGCTGGGTGTCCCACAACTCAACACAATTCTGACACTGTCTTCACAAAGATAGTAACAGATCTCACAGGCTAAGAGCCACATCCTACAAGACTGTCCCTCCCTGTTCAGGTTTTCACCTCAAGTCCCAAGTCCAGGTTATCACCTCCATCTTGAACCACTGGCTATAGATTGGACGTTCCAAAACCCCCCTCCTTGGTTCTGATTAATATGCTACAGTGGCTCCCAAAACTCAGAGAAATATTTTCCTTATTGGATCACTGTTTTATTACAAAGGGATATAACTCAGAAATAGATATATGAGATATATCAGATATATGAGGTGCAGATATATGAGGTGCATAGGCCAAGATATGGGTTAAGGGTGTGGAGGTTCCATGCCTTTTCTGATTTCTCTAGTCTCTCCACATGTTCATCAACCCAGAAAGTCTCCAAACCCCATCCTTTTTGGGTATTTATGGAAGTTTCATTACAGTGACATGATTGATTAAATCACTGACAAATGGTGATTGATTCAACCTCCAGCCCCTCTCCCTTACCCAATGGTGAGGGGATAGCATTAAAGTTCCAACCTTTTGCACCAGAGGGCACATAGCAGAAGCAAGAAGAACTACAATCCTGCAGCCTGTGGAACAAAAACCACGTTCACAGAAAGACAGACAAGATGAAAAGGCAGAGGGCTATGTACCAGATGAAGGAACAAGATAAAACCCCAGAAAAACAACTAAATGAAGTGGAGATAGGCAACCTTCCAGAAAAAGAATTCAGAATAATGATAGTGAAGATGATCCAGGACCTCGGAAAAAGAATGGAGGCAAAGATCAAGAAAATGCAAGAAATGTTTAACAAAGACCTAGAAGAATTAAAGAACAAACAAACAGAGATGAACAATACAATAACTGAAATGAAAAGTACACTAGAAGGAATCAATAGCAGAATAACTGAGGCAGAAGAACAGATAAGTGACCTGGAAGACAGAATGGTGGAATTCACTGCTGCAGAACAGAATAAAGAAAAAAGAATGAAAAGAAATGAAGACAGCCTAAGAGACCTCTGGAACAACATTAAACGCAACAACATTCGCATTATAGGGGTCCCAGAAAATATTTGAAGAGATTATAGTCGAAAACTTCCCTAACATGGGAAAGGAAATAGCCACCCAAGTCCAGGAAGTGCAGCGAGTCCCATACAGGATAAACCCAAGGAGAAACATGCCGAGACACATAGTAAGCAAATTGGCAAAAATTAAATACAAAGGAAAATTATTAAAAGTAGCAAGGGAAAAATGACAAACATACAAGGGAAGTCCCATAAGGTTAACAGCTGATTTATCAGCAGAAACTCTACAAGCCAGAAGGGAGTGGCATGATACAATTAAAGTGATGAAAGGGAAGAACCTACAACCAAGATTACTCTACCCGGCAAGGATCTCATTCAGATTCAATGGAGAAATCAAAAGCTTTACAGACAAGCAAAAGTGAAGAGAATTCAGCACCACTAAACCAGCTCTACAACAAATGCTAAAGGAACTTCTCTAAGTGGGAAACACAAGAGAAGAAAAGGACCTACAAAAACAAACCCAAAACAATTAAGAAAATGGTCACAGGAACATACATATCGATAATTACCTTAAACGTGAATGGATTAAATGTTCCAACCAAAAGACACAGCTTGCTGAATGGATACAAAAACAAGTCTACAAGACCCACTTCAGATCTAGGGACACATACAGACTGAAAGTGAGGGGATGGAAAAAGATATTCCATACAAATGGAAATCAAAAGAAAGCTGGAGTAGCTATACTCATATCAGATAAAATAGACTTTAAAATAAAGAATGTTACAAGAGACAAGGAAGGACACTACATAATGATCAAGGGACCAATCCAAGAAGAAGATATAACAATTATAAATATATATGCACCCAACATAGGAGCACCTCAATACATAAGGCAACTGCTAACAGCTGTAAAAGAGGAAATCAACAGTAACACAATAATAGTGGGGGACTTTAACACCTCACTTACACCAATGGACAGATCATCCAAAATGAAAATAAACAAGGAAACACAAGCTTTAAATGACACAATAGACCACATAGATTTAAATGATATTTATAGGATATTCCATCCAGAAACAGCACATTACACTATCTTCTCAAGTGCACATGGAACATTCTCCAGGATAGATCACATCTTGGGTCACAAATCAAGCCTCAGTAAATTTAAGAAAATTGAAATCATATTAAGTATCTTTTCTGACCACAACACTATGAGATTAGAAATGTTACAGGGAAAAAATGTAAAAAACACAAACACATGGACTAAGCAATACATTACTAAATAACCAAGAGATCACTGAAGAACTCAAAGAAGAAATCAAAAAATACCTAGAAAAAAATGACAATGAAAACACGACAATCCAAAACCTATGGGATGCAGCAAAAGCAGTTCTAAGAGGGAAGTTTATAGCTATACAAGCCTCCCTCAAGAAACAAGAAAAATCTCAAATAAACAATCTAACCTTACACCTAAAGGAACTAGAGACAGAAGAACAAACAAAACCCAAAGTTAGCAGAAGGAAAGAAATCATAAATATCAGAGCAGAAATAAATGAAATAGAAACAAAGAAAACAATAGCAAAGATCAATAAAACTAAAAGCTGGTTCTTTGAAAAGATAAACAAAATTGATAAACCATTAGCCAGACTCATCAAGAAAAAGAGGGAGAGGACTCAAATCAATAAAATTAGATATGAAAAAGGAGAAGATAAACAGACACCACAGAAATACAAAGCATCCTAAGAGACTACTACAAGCAACTCTATGCAGTAAAATGGACAACCTGGAAGAAATGGACACATTCTCAGAAAGGTATAACCTTCCAAGACTGAACCAGGAAGAAACAGAAAATATGAACAGATGAATCACAAGTAATGAAATTGAAACTGTGATTAAAAATCTTCCAGCAAACAAAAGTCCAGGACCAGATGGCTTCACAGGTGAATTCTATCAAACACTTAGAGAAGAGCGAACACCCGTCTTTCTCAAACTCTTCCAAAAAACTGCAGAGGAAGGAACACTCCCAAACTCATTCTATGAGGCCACCATCACCCTGATACCAAAACCAGACAAAGATACTACAAAAAAAGAAAATTACAGACCAATATCACGGATGAATATAGATGCAAAAATCCTCAACAAAATACTAGCAAACAGAATCCAACAACATATTAAAAGGATCATAAACCATGATCAAGTGGGATTTATCCCAGGGATGCAAAGATTCTTCAATATATAAAAATCAATCAATGTGATACACCATATTAACAAATTGAAGAATAAAACCCATATGATCATCTCAATAGATGCAGAAAAAGCTTTTGACAAAATTCAACACCCATTTATGATAAAAACTCTCCAGAAAGTGGGCATAGAGGGAAGCTACCTCGATGTAATAAAGGCCATATACGACAAACCCACAGCAAACATCATTGTCAATGGTGAAAAACTGAAAGCATTTCCTCTAAGATTAGGAACGAGGCAAGGATGTCCACTCTCACCACTATTATTCAACATAGTTTTGGAACTCCTAGCCACAGCAATCAGAGAAGAAATAAAAGGAATACAAATAGGAAAAGAAGAAGTAAAACTGTCACTGTTTGCAGATGACATGATACTCTACACAGAGAATCCTAAAGATGCTACCAGAAAACGACTAGAGCTAATCAATGTATTTGGTAAAGTCACAGGATACAAAATTAATGCCCAGAAATCTCTTGCATTCCTATACACTAATGATGAAAAATCTGAAAGAGAAATTAAGGAAGCACTCCCATTTACCATTGCAACAAAAAGAATAAAATACCTAGGAATAAACCTACCTAAGGAGACAAAAGACCTGCATTCAGAAAACTATAAGACACTGATGAAAGAAATTAAAGATGATACAAATAGATGGAGAGATATACCATGTTCTTAGATTAGAAGAATCAATATTGTGAAAAGGACTCTACTACCCAAAGCAATCTCCAGACTCAATGCAATCCCTATCAAATTACCAATGGCATTTTTTACGGAACTAGAACAAAAAATCTTAAAATTTGTATGGAGACACAAAAGATCCCAAATAGCCAAAGCAGTCTTGAGGGGAAAAAAACGGAGCTGGAGGAATCAGACTCCCTGACTTCAGAATATACTACAAAGCTACAGTAATCAAGACAGTATGGTACTGGCACAAAAACAGAAACATAGATCAATGGAACAAGATAGAAATTTCAGAGATAAATCCATGCACCTATGGTCAACTAATCTATGACAAAGGAGGCAAAGATATACAATGGAGAGAAGACAGTCTCTTTGATAAGTGGTGCTGGGAAAACTGGACGGCTACATGTAAAAGACTGAAATTAGAACACTCCCTAACACCATACACAAAAATAAACTCAAAATGGATTTGAGACCTAAATGTCAGACCAGACACTATAAAACTCTTAGAGGAAAACATAGGAAGAGCACTCTTTGACATAAATCACAGCAAGATCTTTTTTGATCTACCTCCTAGAGTAATGGAAATAAAAACAAAAATATACAAATGGGACCAAATGAAACTTAAAAGCTTTTACACAGCAAAGGAAACTACAAACAAGACAAAAAGACAACCCTCAGAATGGGAGAAAATATTTGCAAATGAATCGATGGACAAAGGGTTAATCTCCAAAATATATAAACAGCTCATCCAGCTCAATATTAAAGAACAAACAACCCAATCCAAAAATGGGCAGAAGACCTAAATAGACATTTCTGCAAAGAGGACATACAGATGGCCAAGAGGCACATGAAAAGCTGCTCAACATCACTGTTAGAGAAATACAAATCAAAACTACAATGAGGTATCACCTCACACCAGTTAGAATGGGCATCATCAGAAAATCTACAAACATCAAATGCTGGAAAGGGTGTGGAGAAAAGGGAACCCTCTTGCACTGTTGGTGGGAATGTACATTGATACAGCCACTATGGAGAACAGTATGGAGGTTCCTTTAAAAACTAAAAATAGAATTGCCATATGAACCAGCAATTCCACTACTGGGCATATATCCTGAGAAAACCATAATTCAAAAAGACACATGCACCCCAATATTCATTGCAGCACTATTTACAATAGCCAGGTCATGGAAGCAACCTGAATGCCCATCAACAGACGAATGGATAAAGAAGTTGTGGTACATGTATATGATGGAATATTACTCGGCCATAAAAAGGAACGAAATTGGGTCATTTGTTGAGATGTGGATGGATCTAGAGACTGTCATAAAGAGTGAAGTAAGGCAAAAAGAGAAAAACAAATATCGTATATTAACGCACGTATGTGGAACCTAGAAAAATGATACAGATGAACCGTTTTGCAGGGCAGAAGTTGAGACACAGTTGTAGAGAACAAACATATGGACACCAAGGGGGGAAAGCCCTATGGGGTGTGGGGATGGTGGTGTGATGAATTGGGCGATTGGGATTGACATGTATACACTGATGTGTATAAAACTGATGACTAATAAGAACCTGCTGTATAAAAAATTTAAAAATAAAAAGTTCCAACCTTTTAACCACAAGGTTGGTTCCCCATGCCACCAGCCTCCATTCTTAGGTGGGGTCCATAAGCCACCTCATCAACATAACAAAATATACCTTTATCACTGTCTCACTTAGGAAATTCCAAGGGTTTTAGGAGCTCTGTGCCAGAAATGGGACCAATGATCAAATTCATATTTCTTATTATGAATCACAATATCACAAATAGGATACAGGATAAAACAGTTATAAGCCCAGATTTATTATAGGAGGATAACTTAGTTACAGTCACTTGTTTATAATAAGATACACAAAACAATGTGAAACTACAAAAAGGCAGGGGAAAAAAATCTTTCAATAAAAGTTATAGTATGAGGAGATAGACTAGGATTGGGAAACCAATTAGCAATCAACTGAGCAGATATAATGAGTATCTCTCCTAAGACAAGGTAGGCAAAAGGAGGATGGAAGATATTAGGTATTACTGTGGATATAGAAGAACCAGAAGGTCCTCAAACTATACCTTTGAACTCGATAATTTCAAAAGGCCTTCAAAAATCACTTTAATCTACCAAGAAATCAATATAAAATTCCACTACTTCTATAAAAATCTTATCCAGAATTTGAAGTGTTTACAATCTGGTTTAAGGGTAGAAATGTAATGAAATTCCTGGTGAATGGTACAAGACAAAATGTAGTTATGTTAAGTCCATTTCCATAGTACACACAAAAGTGGCTAAGGGAGTTTTAGGAAGAAAGAGACTCATTTGTGCTAAAATATTGGGAGGGCTTAAGAGAGATGGTGTAACTTTGACCAGATGGAAACCGATACGTGGGCCATTGCTACCTATATTTTCACAGGAAAAATGTTCGTCTCTACTATTTTATCAAAGAGACACAGAATTATGTTCATTGGGTTCTGATATGAGGTAAGTGACATCCACAGAGAAAGACCAATTATAAGTTTTCTGTCTTCCAGAAATAAAACAAACTAAAACCACAGATATATCTGATAATCCTTTTTTAAACCATTCATCTAAAAATGGCCCATCACTGCAGCTTGGTTAGGAATATAAGAATCACAGGAAAGATCATTATAATGATCTTTATAATGAGACCTTATAATATCTTTGAAGAAGAAACGCTTAATGATTTTTCAAAAAACCTGTTTTGGTCCTGAATAAATATAGAAAACATTTTATAAATTGCAAGTTATTTCTTTAATCATGAAATTCAGCTTTTGTGATTATGTTCATTTTTCATCTTTATGCTATGACCCAATTTTACATAAAGTGACCAATTTAAAAAACATAGATGTTTTTTCTGTAGATTTGGTACCACATCTGGTCCCTACGTACCTCATTCTTCTTTAGTATTATATACTTCTTATCAACTTTTCTCCCTGCATAGACTTCAGCAATCCCTTAATAAATAGGTGTTTTAGTGGTTGTATAAGGCACGTAAGTTATACCTGGACCCATTTTTATTTTACAGCTATACTTCTGCCAAATATTTTCTAACGGTAAAAATGAGTGATATCTGCAGAAAAATACAAAGAAATACCTATTCTATAGCCGGTCCTAGTGTAGTAGAATTTCTTAAGAAATGTGCGCAATCTCAGTTAATGAACTAATAGCTTCCTTTGCCTTCTTTTTCTTTTCACATTTCAGTCTAGAACCTTCCTCTCTAATTACTACCGAGATCATAATGTGGAACTGTCCAAACTGCTACACAGACTGGGGCAGCCTCTCCCATCATGGCTGAGACAGGAGCTACAAAAAGTGAGATAGCACTGGAGAGAAGAACCAAGGCTCCCAAGATACTGACTTTTACTATGAAACAGAAAAACAAACCCCCCATCTTTTATCCCATTAATGCACTTGTGACTGTCAACAGAGGATCGTGTGAATAAATCTCCTTCTATCTTTTTCATAAAATGAAAACTGTTATATATGCTCTCATTGGCAATTACTAGCATCAATCCCTGTGTGACTTTTGAGAAATAATGTGGGGTGTTGTGGCATTACCCAGTTTCCAGTGTGGGGATCATAACACAGCCCAGTTCCTCTGTTGACCATAAGGTTTCAGAAACTATGTTTGACTGAGAACACTGATTATATGCAAGAAACAAATTAGAATCTTGAGGAAAAGATAATGACTGAGATATCTGTAAATGAGGCTAGTAGTAACCCAATATCTGAATTAAGGGCTTACATTTTCCCTTGCTAATTTAAAAACAATTTTGTTTTTGTTATGAAATTATAAGTATAATCCTATACTCTTATTTTGAGCATTTATTACTCAAATAAATAGCCCACACATGTTTTCCTCTGTTACTCATCTTTATGAATTTCTTTGACTTGCTAAAGAAGTTGCAAAGTTGTAACCTCCCACATTTTTGGTCTGTTTCCCTCTTATAGGAGGAGACTATCTGAAAATTTCCATATTCACTGACAATAGTATTTTATCTGGCAAGGCATGCCATTCTCAGTGAATTTTGCTTATGGTTCCAACAGCGGCTATCAGAGATTTGGGGGGAAAATGAATGAGAAAGTGCATACTTTGCATAATATTAACTACTGTGTGTAAGGCCATCTTTCCATGGGTAAAAATCTTACCATACTATTAATCTAGGTATTTCCACCTTGACAATAACGTAGTATTCATATATTTTTTCACTATCCACAGAAGAAAAAAAACTTTATTGGTAAGACATGGAATGAAAATACCAATATGTGTTTACAGGTAGAGAGAGGCACTTGTGCCTTTTATGTAGTACATGTCAATCGTTTAAAGCATGGACTTTTATATGTGTCAGTACATATACTAATGCAAAATATTACGTTTTTAATGCCTATTTAACAGAAGAAATGTAATCTAAAACTTAACCTCTTTAAACACCATGAATTCTCTAAATTAAACCATATTTCTCATCCATGCCATCCAAAAATTAATTTCTAGAGAAGAAGTGATGCTCTTCCTGTCTTAGAGTTATAGGTTACTCTCCCATTTGGAGGATTTTTGTCTCATTTGTCAATGAAGGTATGTTAAAGTTTTGTTAATCTTTTCCATGATACATGAATGTAAAATTTCAGTGGAACAGTAACTCAAAGTGGCTTTGGTAGCATTACCTATCAATCCATCCTTCCTCCAGAGTAATTTTTCTATAGGCTGTAAATAATATTACTTTCTCCTATAATTTGAGCAATCATGCTTGACATAATTCAATGTCTTCAAAGGAAACTGAAGATCATCGTTTCTGTTTACTTGTTGTTTGTGGTTTTAAGCAAACAATTCAAGTATGATCTAAAAGAGAATCAAGAAACAGGATTCACCTTTGGATCTATACTTCATTAAGATTTTTGTTTTTCTGTTGTTTTCCCACTGCATCTAAAGGCTCTTGATCTTTTTCAGAAAATGTTAAGATTTTTCTTGGGTATGAATTGATACAAATCACAAAACTGTTGCTTTTGTTGTTCTTTGTTCAGTGTGAGGCTCAGTTTCTCCACCTTATTGTTACTTAGGTGAGCATGTGCTTGATAGCATTCCATTAAAGCACACTAAAATCATAAGAATTGTGTATTTAGAACTCTAACTTCTGATTTATTTGTTCACTAGTTTCCTCCAGTTACATTCTAATTTTTTCTTTCGTGAAGTAGAGATTGACATTTTTTTTTCCAAGTGGGAAAAAAGAGATATTTGTAGAAAAGAGGGGAGATACTTTTCATACTGAGTAAAATTCATAAAATTCAAAGTCTACCTTATCACCAGATTTTTTTAAATGTAACTAATTTTCTGCATTTTCTTATTTTTTCTAAATAATGTATACAGTATCATTCACCTACCTACAAATAGCTGGGAGCAAAATTCCCACAAATTCTACTAGTCTTTTTTTCTTCCCTGGTTCATTTCAATCAGTATGCACATTTTTCTTACTAAGATTGACAATGAAGACAACAAAACAAATTTTAATTATATAATTCATCTCTTACAGTAAACTACTTAGAGGGACTCTGGGCTTTGAGAAGATTATAATAAATCTGGAAAATTTTTAGTTTTAAGAATATCTTGGTTTTCCCAGTTTTTACCCACTGACTACTTCAGAACTATTGACTCAATATTTAGCATAGGCAATAGTTTAGCTCTAAATAAATTATCTTTCGTGGTCTTGAATGACATACTTTTTAAAATTTTAAAGAACTTCCTAAAACCTTTAAATAAGCCAGTATTTCTCCTCTTTCCTTCTTTTTCTTTATTCCAACTGCCTAACTTACAAATATAATCATTGATTACATTAATAAAGGAACAATATTTGATTATAACCCTACATCAAAATATATTAATATATGCTTGTCAAATACCAGCCTCTAAAAATTATATTACAAATCTCATACAAAAACAAATTTTGTTTGTGTTTAACAATGGCCTCAAAACAATTAAATAAGCAACAAAGAAGAATGCTAGTGAGAAAAATTTATACTCCTTCTAACACTGTAGTTTTTTCTACAAAAAAGATAGTTCTTCATCCAATAAGAGATTTTATTTGCCTTGATTTCAACAAACCCGTTCACATATAACTAATGGAGTTTTTGTTCTTCTATCTCGCTGTTTTAATATGATATAAAGTGACCTGCTTACCATGGGTGTCGATTTATTTTTAATTATGCAAACAATTTACACTCGAATAATATCTTACAAGCCTGCTTTTGGTGGCTAGATAAGATATTAACCATTTGCTTGATGGAGGTCCCTCAAAAACAATGCTGGCCAATGATTTCAAAAAGAAAATATCAAAGAGTCTTGCATATAGGATTTTACTTCAACTGTAGGAACACAGCTTGGCCATAGGTACATATGTTTGTTCAGTATATGTATATATATGCAAATGAATATTTTCTTGTGTGAGCCAATGAGGTGGGTGGGGAGAACATAAAGAGAACTCTGCTTTTACTGAAATTGTTAAATAACTGATGTAGTACATGCATAACATATCTTCGGTTCTCACTTCTTCAGAATAAATATTACTGCTGGTATGGCCACTAGAGTAATGTTGTTTCTCCTTTAAAATCCAAGGTTTTCACCTATAGATGAATCTATTTCCTTCCCTTTGACTTGGTTCGCTCTATACATGTTCCCTGAATTCCAAAGATATAACAAGTGTAACCAGGAAATTATGAGAGTGGACTTGGGGTATCTGGGTTCACATCCCAGTTCTGCCTCAGGCAAGCTATGTGGCCTCGGACAATTTGTGGAACTTCCCTGAGTCAGAGTTTCCTTTTTTGTAAAATAGAGACAATAAAGTATTACTCATTGGGTCACTGTAAATATTAAATGAGAATATATTTAAACAACTTAGCCCATTGCCTAATGTAGTTATGCCGGACCATGTTTGTTACAGAAATAACATAATATTCAAACCACTATCTCTTTTTTTCATCAGACAAGAATATGTTTTTCTATTCCCTTTAATAATAAAACATATATATCTTAAACATATAATTAACTGTATTTGGTTAAAATGAGAAACTGTCTTCACCATCATCATTCAAAAATAAATTTCGCATGACTCCCTGCTATTGTTCTGATCAACATTCAGAGCAAAATAATTCCAGCTCAGTCCCTTCTATTGAAGTCTCTTTGTCCTTTTCCTCCTACCTACTTAATCCTCAGTTTATCTAGTAGAATATCTTCCCCTTATCTTCTCTTTATATCTCTCTCTTCAAATTTTTTGCAACCCAACAGATCCTCTATCAGGAATATCAGGTCTAGAGGTACAACTCCCTCAAAGGAAAGTCATAAAATTTAATGAAGAGATACATGTAATAACAAATCAATGCTTAAAGATACTAGTTAAAAATAACAAGAAAATTTATCTGAATTCTCTACGAGTCTTTATTTCCAACTTCACCTCTTGTGATAAGATCTCCTTTCCACAAATGAAGCACTCTATTATACAATATATTGCTTCCTATTATATTTATTAATACCAAATATTATTTTTGTTGCATTTTTCATTGCAAATGTCAGGTATTTCAGGCCCCCAATAAGACATTTATATAAATAGTTAATTTCCATTCAAAAATATTTTACTGTTTCTCATATTTTATTTAATACAATATGTCTAAAATATTATTCCAACATGAAATCAATTAAAAAATTATTAATGAGATTTTTTATACCCTTGTGGTAATACTGAACCTTCAAAATCTAATTTGTATTTCGCCCGTATAGCACATAACAATTTTGGACTTGCCACATTCCAAGTGCTTGATAGCCACGTGGGGCTAGAGGTTTCTATGTTGGACAGCACAGCTCTAATCTCTATTCTCTTCATCTACTTGTTTTTGATCACCTCCTATTCACCCCAACGGTGAGAGCTGAATTCTTGCCCTACAGTTATCAGGGGATGCCAAACACACAACTCCCAACACTGAAGAGGTGGGATCAACAGAGGTTTATTTGTTACATATACTCAACAGCCTGGGAAGAGGACATTGCACACCGTGCCAGATGCCACAGGGGCTGCACTTGGGAAGAAATGAATAACCAGGGCTGTGAGAGACAAGCTTTGTAGCACCAAGAGGTCGAGGTGGCCCTTGGTTCCCGCAAGAACATGTAATTGGTTAGTTTGAGTAATTCTCAGGCGGGCAGGGAACTGAAACCCACTTTCAGGGACAAGCAGAAACTGTACCTGGTCCACTTGATAAGGACAAGTTTTGGCTAGCGTACCTTGCCCACAGAAGCAGAAAGGAAGCAGACTTTGTGGGTAGGCCATTTAAGATCATCCCAATTTTCCAGATGTCAACAAAGTATGAAATATTGAGTCAATTTA